GGTGATAATCTTGTTTTCTTGTGCCCAATAATGCATAATTTCATTTGATAAATACGTTTAGATTGAATGGTAATTTATAATCAGTCACAAGAACGTCGAATCTGAATCAGTTGAAAAAAACACGGGGGTGCTTAACTTTTTTCCAGGTGTATATATATATATGGAAACATGATATATATATATACTGGCATATTGTACGGAATTGTCCATTTATACAGAATATTAAAAAGTACCGTATCAATTACTGATGATTGTGTTCATTTTTAAAGCTATGTTTCAATATTTAACATGATTATTATAGCTTTGGATGATTCGAATGAGGTAGGCTTCTTGGTGGTTTTAATATTTCCTTACAAAATCACTTCATTTAGGCTTTTCATCGGGCTGAAATAGCAATTATTTTAGCACAATTTTTATAAATTAGAAAGAAATGAACATATTTATTAAAAAAAAACATTAGAATATTTGTTGTTGTTTTGTGAGGGTTTTGTATATGTGCACACGATGCTTGGTTGCAAATGCTTCAAATATTATATAAGCAAAGTCTTTACTATTAGTAGATATTTAATATTCTAATATATTGTCCTGATATTTCTGGATTATTCGCGTCTGTTGTATTTCACTAAACCATTTACGTTGTGATGTATAAGGTTGTACTGAAATATAATAATTTATGAGAAAGATGAAAACAATTATTTCATTTTTCATCCAGCAGTAAGTTTTGTTTTTCTTATTGGTGAGTATCACCCTTCTTAAAACTGTGACTAAAAGCTGTAAAAAATATATAATAATCCAATTAGTGTTTTTTTAAAAAAATCAAGTGCATAGGATCCGTATCCAATGATGTATAGCCATGACTATCAGCACAGACAAGAAATTAACAAGTTTCGAATTAAATTTGACATGTATTTTTGAACCACAACGTCTGCTGCAGCGCAACAGATGGTCTGAAATGGATGACGTGGAAGTGTCGATAAACCTTAAGTGAAAAGGAGGTCATGCTTCGTACGTTTGAATTATTTAAGCAGCTGTAAAGTGACACCTGCATCTGATTTTAAACGGGTTTTTTTTTCATGTAACTCCAAAATATAATTTATATTTTCATAAGAAGAAAGATTCAAGCCATTTGTTTTGTACTACGAGAACTGTTTGTTTGGGGTTTTATGATGCAAAGCTTCATGGCTATCTGAGCCGTACCATGAGAAAATATCTGTACTTATGCAAAGTAACTAAGGCTATCTGACGCTGTTCCAAATTCTGAGCTACTGACCAGAGGCAAGGTTAGGGTGACCAGATTTCCAAACTGAAAAACCGGGACAGCCAAGCCTTGACCCTATTTTCAAAATGGTTATTACATATTTAAAATAATTCACCTTTTGTTTAATTTAATTTAAATTTATTGAACAGTTCCACAATATTTCCAAATATATTAACATTGGCATTGTTTCTGAAATAATTTCAATTTTTTTTATGGTACACACAAAACAAATGAGCAAAAAATAGTCAAGTTATACACCCAAGAAATATTTGACTAGTAACTTCAATTCATCTTAAACTAGGCTACTTCATAAATGGATTTATTTAAGTATCCACAGCATTTTCACACATACTACTTTTAGGTTTTAACATTATTTTGAAACTTTTTAGACACATTTTTGTGAAGAATGAATGGAATGTAGAAGTTCTGCTTTTTTTTATATTAAATAGTCATAAAATTTAGTACATGACTGTGAAAAGCAGGGTTAGACGATCAGCACTGCCTTCACATTCAGAGTGGGTTTCTCACCACGCACGGACGGAACTTTCGAGAGTTTAGCGGCAGAAGACTACATGTTATAAGGAGGTCATGCTTCGTACGTTTGAATTATACACACGAACAGTGACACTTTTAAGTATATTGCATTCAAACAGTTATTTAGGAATTCTAAATAGCAAAGGCCTATTACATTTGTGATTCGATGTAACTGATAGTTTGATATCATAAAAACGGGACGTTTTGTGAGTCTCGAAAACTTTTCTCGAGACAAGCTAACGAAACAGGACTGCCCTAGCAAAATCGGGACGTCTGTTCATCCTAGGCAAAGTAGCCACCATCCCCGTTAAGGGAGTGACTGTCACTTTTATAACGCACTTACAGCTTAAAGTGCGGGGCATATTCTAATGAATTGCAGGGATTCGAATCCAGCTCACCAACTCTGATATCCAGAGCTCTATACCACAAGGTCAACCCACTTCCACTACGACAAAGAAAATTAAAACCTAAATAGCGAAATATTTCTAAATCGTCAGAAATTACAAATATTATTAGCAACTAGATATTTCATTTTCTTTAAATTGAATTTTATGATTAAGATGCTTTCATAACGAGTTCAATTTTGTGATTAATAAATAGCTTCAAACACATGGTTGGGCATGGAGTGTAACATTAGAATCCAACAGGCCTAGAATTTGTCTTAAAAAGCTCTATCAAAAATATTGCATCTATTGTTCTCTAATGCTTCTCCAATTAAGTCGTAACTACAAATATTTTCTAATATTGTTTCTGAATTGTTCACCCTGCACTATTATTGGAACAAGAGAGTATGGAGGCGTTTGTTACAATTTGTTTGTAGTTAAGCGCAACGCTACACAAAGGGCTATCTGTGCTCTGCCCACCACGGGTATGGAAACCCTGTTTCTAGCGTTGTTAGTCCGCAGGAATACCGTTGTGCCAATGGGGGCCCGTTTGTTATAGGAATAAATAACTCACATACAAGTTTTTGCTAAATATAAATCTTCCTTCTGAAATCTTGCATTCAAACAGTGGATTTGAAAGCCTATGAATATATCGTTTTAAAATTAAATCGAATAGTTACTGATAAAAGTTAAAACATGGAAAGATTCAATTGGAATTTTTAAAAGTGAAGTACATCTTCTAATCAAAACACAAATACGAAATCATTTTTGTGGTATTTTCCATGGCCTTAAATCAGATTTCAAGGAAATACTACACTGCCAGCCCCCTCCCAATACTAAAATGGAGCAAAAAAATTCACTTGGAAGACAAAAGTAGAAATAAGGATGATTTCAAAGCATAGAACGATATATTTTTCAAATTCTTTATTACAATTCCTACACAATATACATACACAGCGCTTCTCACTAAAGGGCACCAAAAGTGACGTCATATATATATATATATATATACGAAACTTATGATGACCATCGAGTGGTAACCTAAACTGAAGTTTCACTTATACGGTATTTAAAACCAAAAAACATTGAGATCACCAGATGAAAGTTTTGTCGGCAGGATTGTTGATATGTGGCAAAACACTGCCAGATAAATTAATAGCTTAAATATTGAACAACTTTGTTTTTTAATAGAATATCAAACAGTAGGCAACAGTATGGTTGACTTCATTTCCTTTTAAGTTAAAGGTAATGTGATTAGTACAAAACAACACTTGTAAAACCCTGGTCTTGTAAGAAAAAGAAAATCTATATTTTTACTTATATTGGTGATAGCTGTTGTTTTCTTTCTTTCTTTTCAAAAGTTTGAAGATCTCTATGTAGATTTTTAAATTTCAAAGGCACAGTTTCATTACATCATAACAGTAAAATAGATGTTTTGTTACAAATATGTTCTCCACAATCAAAATTTTAAACCTTGAAAATTTAAAATACATTTTTAAAACACGAGAAATAAACCTAAGAAGGAATTTTCCTGTAGGTATATAATCTTAGATAATTACATATAAGAACACCTGCACAGCCTTAGTACAAGTTGCTCCTACAAAGTAAAAATAAAAATATAAGAGAAGCAATACTTTTTAAATTATACAGAGAGAAATCAATTTTATGTTGTTACTTTCACATTCTTATCATGGAAATATCTCAAATGTAATAAAAGTTAGCTACAGTCAAATGTATGGTAATTTTTTTTATTCTATGAAGGATAAAAAGGTAAGAAGTTATTAGATTAATTTTCACCATAATACAATTTCATTGATTTGATACTCATGTAACAGCATCACATCGAACCAGACAACAGACATAGACCTTTGGTTGTTTGAAGCAAACAATAGTGTTTTTTTTTCTGTCTGTATGGCTTAATGATAGGTTGAGCAAACATGTTTCATAGATTTTTTTATCTCCTGAACTAGTTAAAAAAAAAGATTTCTTAAATTACAGTTCATCAAGACAACTTTCTCTCTTCTATAGGTGACTATTCAAATCATTGTTACTTATGAAAATAACAGACGAGTAAACCCTGAGACATCACATACACACGCACACACACAGAGACAAACAAAATCCTAAAATTTTTCCATCTCATGGAAAATTGATTTATGTAAGCTGAAGTCAAACTTAATGACAAACTTCACTTGGATTTTTTTTTCTTTAAACATTGAAATAAATTACATGGATTTTTTTTTTTATCTTCCTTCATAACAAACTGAAAAGCTTGAAAAAACAAAAGGAGGAAATTGACTTAATTATACAATTAACTTATTACTAAAATAAGGAAAAACTGCAACCCTTGGTCAAGCCTCCCACCAAGGGGATTTAAACAACAACAACAAAAAAAAACATTTTACTGAATACAATATCATTTTGACTCTGTATACAAGTAACTAAACTTCATGGTGTGGCAGAACAAAAAAAATAATGAATTTATAAACTTTCTTTCAGTAATACACACTGTATATACTTTCTTACTGCAACAGTAAAAAATGGCAGTGATAGAACAAACTAAAAGACTTATCACCATCTTATGTGCTCAACCATATGTACAAGTATTGGCAGTGTTTAAACTAATTGCCAGGGTAAAACATGAAAACTTTCCTTGCAATTGTAAGTATTTTGTACTGATTTCATGTTTTATCCCTTACTTTAGAACTATTCAACTTATCACTTATTTAGTGCTGGAAACTTTACTCTTAATTTTCTCTTTATGAACAAGTGATGGGAACACCTAGATACCAAACATTTTCTTGTTAGTTTAAATAAGATAATTAAAGAATCATACTGTAGCACCTATAAAAATTTTTCAACTGAATACAATATATTTTGAAAAAAAAAAGATATTTTCAAATTTTCTACAGTCTTATACAAAATATACTGTCTTAGTTAAATTCAGTTATCAGTGGGATAAAAACAAATCTGTAATTGATCAGTCACTAGGGTATATCACTTAGTTTAACCTACTATTCTATACACCATACAGAACAAAACAAGGAAACACTGTACTATCATATATATATGAATGAGAATTTAATGTATATCAAAACACCATAGAGCATTATCTGAATATGTTTAATAAAATTACTCTTTACCAGCTTTCATCCTTCATTAAATAATTCTTTGCATTATTCCATTCTCTAACATTTATTTAACTCTACTCAACCTTTGCAAACTGGGACTTTTTCACTGAACAAAATACTGAAACCAAATCTTACTTGTTCCGTAAATCTTTTTAACCTAAACAATAAGAACTTGTGAAATTCTGTATTAATGCCCACAATATACCAATGCTTTATTTTCACACATAAAATTAAGATCATAACAACACGTTACAGAACATTTTAATTCAGACAAAAGATAAATATTGAGAAATAACAATGTATTATCTTTAAAGCAAATTACTTTTAAGCTTATAAAGTAGAGCCGAAAAAATGTTTTGATCTAGTGCATTTCCCATTATCATCATGAGAAAATACATTAAGCAAACTCAAGCTTCTTGTACTCGTATACCTACTCCTAAAACTATCTAACTTCATCACATTTGCATGGATACATTTACAGTAGATAACTTTCATGGGTATTAAAGTAACAATATAATAACTTAAACTACAAACACTATAAAAATTTCAAAGTGAACTGTACAAGTCCAAGATCAAGAGATAAGTTTGAGAGCTTTAAAACAAAATTTCCACTAGAATAAATGAATTAACCTTACCAATGACATTATCACTGGTGTAAATGTTTTTTGAACTATCGAAATAATATTCACTAGTATTTAACACAGATGCATTCTTTTGTTACATAAACTATAATACCAGATAAATAAAAAAAGTTACGAAGAGTCGATAAAGATATTTAAGACTATAATCATGCAGAAGGCAGGATATGCCACTTTATAATGATGGCTCATCTTCACAGTTGGATCGGATTTAATGGGTTATGATCGAATGGTTTGAATAAAAAGTTAAAATTGGTGAATGAATGGTGTGCTTCTTAAGATGATGTATGAAAATAGTGCAAAGAAAAAAATGAAATGAAAGGACGGGATGTGAATTAGTGAGCATGGAAGAGTTTTTAAAATTTTAAGCTTGGTTTATAACTTCAACTACAAACTATTATGTTCAAAATGAAAGATCACAAACAATACCTTTTTTTAAAAATCCCACAGCATTAAAATCATGGTAAAATTTCTCATAAATAAGTGATTCTGAGCAGTTTTTCTATTTTATTTTTTAAAAGTTGTAAGTAATCACATAATTTTATATAAAGAAAAACACTGTTCTTTTGTACTTATGTTGTCTCAGTAAAAAAAATATATATAAAAAATTAAATTAAGATTTTAAAATGAAGACATAAAACTCAGACATCTGACTAATTTTTCCATAAAAGAATCTCTTGGTTTCAAACTATAGTTAAAATACACAAAACTTGCATTTCTCAAGTAAAAACAGTTTCTTGGCTTGTTGAGGTACTCTGACATGTTGAAAGGAACACAACCATTACATTAACTGTACCTATATAAAGCCTTCACAAGAAACACTGTTTACAAATAAACTTCAGTTATGGGTGCTAATTGTGGCTCTTTTTGAAGAAACTAAGGATTTCAACTGCCACTCATGTAACGATGGTGCGTATGGAAACAACTTATCCATGCTACATTCCGGGGCAAATTGTTATAAGTCAAGAGTTGCGTGGATTGGCTGAGGTAGCTACCTTTCCAAGAATGACCTGGCCACTCTCAACTAATGCTGGAGGTTTAAGACACAAACTGGGTACGACCTGAAATTTAAATACAATGATTAGCGAGTCAGATTCTAATAGGGTGAAGTATAATTATTATCCAGAAGAAATACCTCATTAACTTAAGAATTAAAAAAATAAAGAAAAAAACCTTGTACTCTTTCCCATGTTCTAGGATTTAAATTACAGCAGTTTAAGATAAACCATGTTGAGTTTAATAAAAACCTAGATACAAGTTAACTGGAAAAGTTTGGAGTGAATACTGCTGGAATTAGCCTTTAATTAAATATACAATATAAATAGAAATAAAGATAACTCATTATATTACTGCCTATTAAGCATCAAGTTTCACATATTAACCAATATCACAATTTAGAAAACTTTGTTTGATCACTTAGCTTTTTAAAAGAAATGGTCTTTCATTTTAGTTCAGTTTTAATCTAATTAGAACTACAAAACTTAATTTTCAATCAAGCTAGTAAAAAAAAAAAATTGTATATTTTTTTTATTCTTCTTGTTGTTTATTTCAACCAGTTAAATTACGATATTAACACAGATAAAATGAAATCTTAAAAGCTTTTCAAATTTTGACCTAACTGAACATGATGAAGTCAGAAATACAGAACTGGTTAAAATAATTTTGTATCATCAAGTTTTATCATGCTTTAGTTAGTTATTATGAAGTGTTTGTAAAAATGAGGCTACCTTGGAGTTGCTGGATACAACTAGTATTGCTTCTTCGATTACTGGAGTGATGTCCTGACTTATGACTTGCTATAGACCTATAGTCTTGAGTTGGTTTGATCAAGTCCGTGTTGGCTGAGGGCATGTATACTATATCCTTGTGGGGCTCAGTATCCATTAGCTGTGACAGAGCTGAGTGAGAAACAGTTGGGTGCACTTGCTTCTGACTGTAGCCATTGATACAAAGAGATGGTGTTGGTGTAACATTTTTTCCACAAGCTTGTGCTGTAGGTAAAAGTGTAGTATTCTGAGAGGGTGTCTGAGGTTGAGTCATTTGGTTGTTCACTGGCACTAACGAAGAGAGTGATATATTAGACTGAAGTCCAGGAGGCAACTGGTCAGGAGTGACTGTTTGAGGCTGAGCACTGGGAGTACTCACATTCACAGCACAGTTAACTACAGACTTCAGCTGAAGATTACCAGCAACAGGAGTTGATCCTATATTAGGTGGGGGAACACTAAAATCTGGCAGTGCTTGCGGTGGTAGCACGTTAGTGGAAGAAGTGGGAGGAGGCATGTTGAAACTTGGTGGGGGGACAGAAAAGTCAACCATCAAGGGAATCATCGGTTGAGCAGTGCCTGTTGCCAGTGGAAAAGTTGCCAAATTTACTTGGGGTACTAAGGCTGATGACTGTGCAGGTCCCACTGCAAAGGCAAAAGTCCTGCAGAAAGATCAGAAGAAGAAGAAGAAAGTGTTGGTGGAGGATGTTGAGAAGGTGGAGCAGAAGGTGGGGGCAGGTTGGTTGCTTCACCAACATTAACAGCTCCCTGGCTGACTGCAGAAGAATGATGAAACACAAACTGACCAGTGTATTGAATACTCTGAGAGTGAAAGTTTCCCACAGAGATGATAGGAAGTCCTCCCATGTAGGCTGGATGGGTCATCATGGCTGTACACGAAACTGGCTGAGACAAGGAAGTTTCTACTCCTACTCCATTAGTTTTGTCATCTTTCCTTGGGGGAGCTATTACAATGCTTCCACACTTACTCCTCTCAGTAGACTTCTTCTTGCTTTGAGATTTTCCTAAGTTTGTACAGTGACGATGGTGTCTCCGAGACTTTGAATATCTTCCACTTTCACGGCTACTGGTAGAGTCCAAACTGCTAGCTGACCCAGAACGAGATCGAGAGTGGTCGCGTGAATGACGATGACGTCCTCGTTCATGATCATAACAAGGTGGACTCACTGATCTACTCCGACTTCTTCTACTACATGGGCTGTCAACGCTGCTGATAGGACTGTGGCAATGGTGTGAAGAAGCAGTTGTGCTCAATCCTATAATACGTTCAGGGGATTCTGATGGTGTACTTGGAGGTGTGTCTGGAGGAGTCCTTGGGCCCTTTCTTGGTAAATGTGGAGAGGTGACTTTGCTGTGTCTTAATCTGCTTGGAGGAGATCCTCGGTGATGGTGGTCTCGGGTACGATGGTTCAAAGCTTTTACTTGAGTTGATGGACTCACAGCTTTAAAGGTTATAAAGACAGAGTTGTCCTGAGAGCTGGACTTGTGATCACCATGTTTGATGCTATCCACCACCCATTTTTTAGATTCTTGGTGAGATGTCGTTCCTTTGTTGGTATTCTTTCGGGAGCCACTGTAAACATTTCCCCGTTTTTCTGGCTTCAACAGCTCTTTCCGCTGGTTGTCACTAGGATTTGAAGCTAGAGCCAACAATTTGTCAAAACCACTACAGATTTTAGCTTGCCAGTGTCTTCCCCTTGTCTGATCTGCATGTTTACTAATTCCATTCTCTGCCTTTGTCAGGTCTGGTATGACTGTAATGATAATGTACACATTTGTATCTAATGTCACAAAACATAACAGAAGTATTTATTACAAACAGAAGTATCTTAATTACAATACTGGGTGAAATAACTATGAAATACCTAAAATATAATATTGGTTATGATATAAAAACTGTTCATCTGCTAAATTGCATAGTAAATTCTATTGTAGTAAGCCAGATAGTTAAAATAATAAAAAAATTGTATATGCTTGTGCGTGTGATTAAATGTACAAAATAATGCATTAAGCAATTTTTCAAAATGCAATGATTTACTAAATTTTGATCTATTTGCAGTATGATGCAATAAAGGGCAAGATACTGAAAAATCCTTGGTTGTAAATGAAAATATAATTCATGAATACTGGCATAATTTTGTGATTTTCAATACAACTTTACAAAGAAAATTAGTACATAAAAAATAATAGCCATGGAAAGCTTTAATGCTGGGTATACTGTACATTATTAGCAAGTTATAAGAATCTTTGAAAGAAACAACAAACCAACCTTCAGATCTAGCTAGGTTTTCCAGCTTTTCCACAACTTTGGTTGGTGAGACCCTGTTTGCATCCAATCTTTCTGCAGTTGAACAGGTACCATTTGCCACAGGAGATGCATCTGCTGCTGAAACACTGCCAGCACTAGGGGGTCCACTACTCTGGGATACAGACCCTAGACTTTCAATGCCAGAGTCAGAGGCACGACTAAGAGGTGAATAACTACGTTTTTTTGATGGACTAGTTCCACAGTAACTAGAAGTAGAGTTGTGCTTTCTTTTCTGTCTTTTAAGCTTTAATTCATCTTGTTTGGAACTACCTTTAGGGCTTTTGGAAGCCAAGAGACTTCCTAAGTTTAGCACTAAGCCATTCATGACTTTGTTATTTGGATTTGAAGATTTTTCCTGTATGTCTTGCTGAGATGATTTTATGTTTGAACTTTGTCTCCGTGATTTTGACCCACAATGCTGACGATGACTCCGTTTCCAAGTTTTACTTTCCTTTAAAGGTTCTGCTTTTAAACTACAGGATAACTGAGGTTCCCTACTTAGTTGGAGTGGTGGTATAGTTTTGTCAGGAGTTTTATGACTATTTTGAACTTCTGAGGGGGTCAAAAGTCCACAAGATGGAGGAATATCAGTTGATGTACGAAAATCTGTAGTGCCAATTCTTTCTTGGTCAAGAACTGGTGTATCAGGCTTAGATAAAGATGGTGGTAAGGGTGATACAGGTTCATACTGAGGCCCTAAAACAAAGTTTTGGGGCAATGGACTTCTGCTTGGGCTTATTGGAGAGTAGGGCATGGTATCTAAAAGATCTTCTGGAAAACTACCATTGTTGCTGGAATGTGTGCTGGTTGTAGAAGAAATGGTTGACTTTATTACACTTTGATGGTTTAGAGATGTATCTTCAACATTAACATCACTACTGGTGGGTACAAAACAGTCAGAACTGGGCATTTCCAATCTTCCTTTTAATTCCTGTTCTCTGTAGCCATTGAAATTTGATGATGGTGTTACTCCATCTCTTTCCTTAATTCTACCAGAAAAGTTTGAATCCTGGGAAACAATGACTGAAGAGGCTGTAACAGAAAGTGAGTAGTTTTCAGATTCTTGCTTTTCTGATTTTGGAAGCAACTGTTCTTTCACCACATTAGGGCCAACAAGGCTACCAGGAACAATGAAATTAGTATGTTGCTCCATGTTATCTTTACAATGATGGAGCTTTTGTTTTGTGACAGCTACTTTTCCAAGGGAGTAAACCTCATTTTCCAGCTTTTGTACCTTGCTGTGCAGAACATTGCGTTGTGTAAGGGTAGAGGAGATCTCTTTCAAGATGTGATCTTGCATCGCAGGAGGATTTTCCCCATTCTAAAAAATAATATAGGGAATCTGATTAGGCCTGCAAAGAGTTCCAAGCTCATTATCAATCATCCCACTTCCAATACATTACATGTACATGAGGAACAAACAATATTTTGAGAAAATGACCAATTATAAAAAAAAGATTAAAAACATACAGTCAAGTAACAATGCCACACTGCATTTAACACTCACAACTTCATTTTTATTCTTTATTTTAACTAAGTCCATATTTAATTTCAATATCATGTTCAAAATAAGCATCATCATACATTTTACAATTCAGTAACATACAAAAACTACCAAGAAGTAGAGAGTTGTATGAAAATCGGTTCAGACAAACTATTTATTTGAAATTAAACCAAGACATTCATTTGCATATTCTCTTACTGTGCCGAAACTGTGAAACTTCCAACTTTTGATGTTGTATGTGAGTGAACATGAAGCAGTTGTGTCATTATATAAAATATCAAAAACAACAAATAAGAACTATATATTGATTTAGTCAGTCTTCTAAATTTTAAGTTGCATAAATTTCAATAATTTTGTAGAAATATTTAAACCTACTATAATAATTATTCACATTAAATATAAGTTATATTTATTATTATTTTTAGACGAAATACAACACTAATACTAGCCAAACTACTTTGGATACACCAAGCAGTTTTCCAGGAAACACTAATGACAAAATATACACATAAACTAGAACAACTTAAAAACTTCCAACTCAGCTTCATGATCAATTTTTAATACAATTTTTAACTATCACAGTGAAAAATCTTTACTCATTCTAACATAGTATTTGAATACTTGTATTTTCTGTAAAAATAATCTCCACACAAAATATTAAACAGATTAAACTTTGTTTAATGTAAAAGCTCAGTTGCATTCAAATAACAGTGAAAATAACAGTATATTTCTAAAGCCTACCTTCACTAAACCATTAGTTACAAAGGGAAAGTTCATCTTATTGTTTTGCGTGGCAAGCAGCAAATTATTTTCTGACTCCAGTGATGAAATTTGACACTGCAGCAATGAAGCTTTGGTTTGTAATTCCTTGTGTGTCACAACGATTTCTTTGGTCTAGTGTAAATTGAGATAAATTACAAAAATTATTAAACTAAAAGAAAAAAGAATTAACATTCTAATATTAGTATTTGCTTCCTGAAATTCCCCTAAAGAATTAAACATATATATATATATATATATATATGACAGTATGATAACTTTAGAGCAGTCACAATAAGATGGGATGTTTCAGAGAGGGAAGGTTTACTGGACAGTTATGTAATAAAGCTACATATTTTTGAATACTTAGCAAGAAAATATACACCAAGAAACAAAATATTATCATAGTTGAGTACAAATAACCATTACCTTCTTTACAAATCACACACATAATTTCTTTTCACAGAGCTTGTAAACAATAATCAGTATGAAGAGTTACTAATAAATGTGATCAAGGAGGAAAACAATGATGAGTAATTAATCCTAAGGATCACTAAACAAACAACCTAGGAACTGTTTTGTTTAGAGGTGAAAAGGTTGATATTGGTAACCTTATGACAGAATGGTTTTAATTAACATCAACAAGCAACTAGTGTTGCTATCTGTTATCTTGAGCTTGTGTGATTATTCAGTATTTCAAATAACCAAAACTAATTACCTTCTTGAGCAGATCTGATGGTAAGTTAGCATGAATACCCATTTCTGCCATGCGAGCTTTCAGAAGTGATACACCATCTTGGCTGAGTGCTTGAATTTGTTTTTCTAACTGTGAGGCACTTGAACTCAATTTAGCCTTTCTTAGCTGTGGGGAGAAAAATAAGCATCTTATAATCCTTGTTTCTACAAAATTTATCACTTCACATTCGAAGTTCTTGCTTCAAAACTTTCTCAATAAACTCTTCATGAATTTTCTTTTGCTATTAAAATTAATTCTTGTAGTCTAGATGTTAGTAACTATAATAGTACTCCTTCACCTGATATTACTGATCATAAATATTTCTAAAGGAGAAATCAAAAAGTGCTAAAATGTCTAAAAAAAGGCTTCCACGACTTTGGTTTTAGAGGAAACTCTAATTTTAACCTAAGGCATTCAGAAAACTTGAACATAACTAGTTACATTAAGCCTAGTAATTAAAGATAGCGAAACAAAGAAACTTTTATATTACACAAAAATAAGATCTTCGATTTGTTTCATATTCCTTTATTTGTAGATTATGGTAATTTAATCAGTTTACTACATCAAATGTGAGCAACATACTGAATTTTTGTTGAAGATTTAAAACCTTTAATATTTTTTGTATTAAGTATTTCTCAATGATGCTGTAGACAAACAGACAGATTTAGATAAATAGTTAAGCATCTAGAGTTATTTTACCTTTTCTTTTTCAATCAGATTTTTCAAGTTCTCTTTATATTGGGAAGTTTTCATTTTTTGTATAAAGTGTAAAAATTGAGTCTTGTACAAGTCGAGTAGTTCTTGCAGACCAGAAGGCATTTCAGAAGTAATGGCAGTGTTAGCTGGATTCATAATCATAGTGTCAAGTTTTTGGTCAATACAGCCAGGAGCAGGATCAGACCGCTCACTTGCTAAATACAGAAAAATAACATATATATATATATATATATATGTATATATATGTGTGTGTGTGTGCGTGCATGTACATGTAGTTTTTTAATATCTTATGTCTGGCAAATATGTTTTCTTAACTGTAAAAGAAAAAAAATTCTTATAACAAATGTACTTTTTGCTTTAAATCATATAAATCATAAAAAAACTTTACAGAACTTCCATACTTTTTTATATTATATTAAAAGTGCTTACATTTTGTAAAAGCTACTGATGATCTGTGATTGATTTATTACCTAGTAACCACAGTAAAACAATAAACCTCAGTAAAGTTTCAAAGCATGAACAAAAAGTTGGATGACTCTTAAACATTTAAATCTTACTGGAGATATTCGGAATTAGCATATATGTGACAAAATCTACAAATGACTATTTACCTTTGTTTGATGTGCTCAGAACAGTCTGCGTGTGAAGAAGGTCCAATCCACTGAATGTTAAAGCTTTCCGAAGCTTAGTCTTGACCATGCCCTTCTTAGGTCGTCCAGGCTTTTTCTTTTGTTCTTTCATCTTCACTAACCTCTGTTGCCTCTGTCTCACTGGAGGCCTTCCTGTAGGTCTTTTAAGTGGTTCTATGAAATAAGAGTACCTTATGAGCAACTATAGTTTAGGAAATAACATTACTCAGACTATCAGAAAATTATATAATTATCTTCAGAATAATTCATTTTAAAGCAAAAACTATCTTATGTGTATGTATAGTGATAGTTACTTCAACTCCACAATAGCATCATCTCTAGAATAACAGAAAATTTATATTAACTCATTTTACCAAACGTTATATGGTGTAACCGCTTACTGTAATCTTAAATATTGATCAGTAAAAATGTAATTCACATTTTCCTATATTGTAATTAGGAATAAAAACACATGCCATTTTCTTCATTGCTGTCTTGTCCACTAGTGTTGCTAGCTATTGATTTGTTTTGGCTGTTGCACCAAGCAGTCCAGGCTTTTCTTGTGGTTGGTCCAAAAATTACTGTTTCCTCTTTATTCAAATCCTTGGAGTCATTGGATGAAGAGTCTATAAGGAAGTGGTTAATGGCAGTGTTTTTACATTTTCTAGCACGAGTGTTTCCCACTTCCTCATCCTACAAAAAAAATATATATATATATAAGTTTCATAAATGAAGAAAGTCAATTTCTCAGTAAAACATCATTATGGTCTAACCAACAGAGAAATATATAGCTATCTAAGCAGTGGATGTCTGCATGGTACAGATTAAGTGGTTTTGTTGTTCAGGACCAGATTACAGTCCACTAGTTGTAAAACACTGCTCTAAAAGAGTCCCTAATATTAAGAAATAATTTTACAATGTTTTAATTCTTACCCTGAGTTTTGGATTCTTCAACTTCTGGAAATAGTGCTCTAACTGAAAGCAACAAAACAAAGAAAAACTTTTTTTTTTTATCAAACATAATACTAATAATAGATACAGAATTTATTTTTATTGTATGGCAGTGTTTGTAAACAGCAAAACTACATGCATTGTTTTTCAACTCAAAGATAACATTTATAGTTTTACAACATAAAAACATTTTAAAGGGTTAAGTTTTAAAAAAATGTGGAAAGATATAAAAATCAGTAATTAAACTCTATAAAAAAGGTAAGTAGCCATAATTAAAAAAAAGCATCACGTAAAAATCTTTCTGCAATTTTAAAGCTGCAAATTCATAAAAATATCAGATATGAAAATAAATAAACTAGTTGCACAAACTGCATAATCTCTAGAAAAACTATTTCATTAAACAGTATCTTTATTTATAAAACCAACCATACTACAGGTACATCAGTGTAATGCACCCTGATTTCATAGAGTTAACATGGTGGAGTTTGTTTCCAAGTAACAATTGTAAACAAATATACCAGTATTTAAGAGAATAAAAGCCAGAATAAATAAAAAAATTATGGGATTTTAATTTGTATAGCGTTTGTGTGAAACAATTATGTCAATTTTAAATATTTACCTTAGTCCGATCTATTGTGTGTACAAAGTAAGATACAGGTTTCCCAGTCCATGAAACTGAACCTTTCAGAGGCGTAATTTCTTTCACATGCATAATGGTTCCAATATCTGAAATCAAAAGTATGTATTCATCTTCTAGAAATAAAGATTACAAGATAACACATTTAAAACATTGTTTAATATGTTTCAAAATTGTATTTTCAAAATTAATCAAAAGAAGTATAACACACAGCTTTACAACTAAACATTTTTAAATACCACACAGACAGAAGTATTATTTCATTGCATGAAAGATAACTGTTATTGTTACATTTGAAAATAGTTATTAGCTTCAAACTGTTTGCATTTTGTAATAAAGATAACAATTTTCATCATTTAGGATTACCATGTTTGAAAAACAAAAAAGTGAAATCAACCAACTCTTGTTATGTGCAGAAAATGTCCTGCTAGTAAGACAACTAAATAAAATGAAATATGCATATACATACACCAAAAATACTGTTAACTTAATTGTTTCAACATGCCCTTTCTTTTATAACAAGATTAAAACATGATCTCCATGGTTTTTAAGGAGGCAAAATGAGGTTTTCATTCTCTACTTAAGCAATTACTTTAAGAACAGTGGAAGATTTAAAAAATAAAACCTATAAATGGGGTAAATAGAAAATACAGAAATGAAGCAGTGTTGTTGAGTAAATTTTCCTATCTTTGAGGAAAATAATTTTGGCTAAAATTTCACTTCCTTTGTGTGTATTGTTCCCCTATTAGAAACATATATAATAATTTTATGGTTCTGTTTCCTTACATACCACTCATGGTCCTGTCTGTAATGCGAAAGTTGAGAGGACAGAATTCTTTTGATGATACTATCCTAGCACCATCTCTCATATCAGCAAACCTTTCTTTTAACTGCAAAGACAAAATTCACAAGTTTGATATTTAAAAAAAGAATTTTAATGAAATAAGTATTTAAATTATTTGTATGACCAAAAAACAGATCATTAGAAAAGTTATAAACAGAAAGTTTAAAGTAAAGTACTAACAGAAAACATTCTGGACAGTAAACTGTAATTGACAAGATCTCCATCAGTTTTCACAAGACCAAACATGAAGAAACTTCTGGCCCAGTAATTATCCCACCCCTTGCATAATAGTAGTATTGATATCTTACAGTTAAAAGCACACAAAAATTGAACACAAACACTCAAAAAAAGATCTAAAAATAAACTGAATACTAAGTTCAACTTGTTGTTACTGTATCACTCCTAAATTTTGTCTGTGTACTATTTTCAGATTGTAAACATTAGATGTCACTTGAATAATAATGGTTCACAATGTAAACCATTATTTGACAAAAGTCTCTGTGTGTTTGTATGCTTATAACTGGTTAACTGCTGGACCAATATTCACCAAACCTGGCATGTTCTCTTAAACCCCCCTCTTTGAATTGACATTGGTATCTGCCCCCACCCCCTATATCTTTCCCATGCATGTATACCTTAACTATTATCTGTTTTTCACAGTTCTTGACTCTCTAACAGAAGCCATGAACTTTGTTTAAGTAAAAAATCTTCAGTAGTTATTTAAGAACATTTTCTTATTCAAGACAGAAATATTATATTTCCCAAACCTGAAAGTTATAAATCGATTTTATTTTATAATAAAACTATAACAAAAAATAAATAATGCAGTTTACTTATAACTTAAAAATAGCAGTAATGAGTTATTTAAAATGGTACATACCATGTGATCTACTGTAGGGCCGAAAGCAAAATTATTCACAAACACTAATCTGTAAAAATAAACATTATTAATTAGCTTTTAAATATATTTAGACAAGTATAAAAAATATTAATTTAAAAGATGCATCCTAATCACATTATAATTTGAACATAAACAAATGTAATAAAAATATACCATACAGACATTTATTTCTTGGAAAATATGTACAGAAAATTAAAATTACAAGCTGAAAGTATTATAAGATTTAAATTCATAATATAATATCTGTTCATTAAATGTTATCAACCTTACACTTTGGCTCACCTTATAAATTACAATTAAAAGATATTGAATATATGATATGCAAAGTTATCTATTGAAACAACTATCCCTAGACTGCTTATTTACTAGCTACTAACATTCACATTTTTATAATCATAGTTAAGAGTAGAACAAATTTTTAATAGTTTATGAAAGTTGTTACTTACATATGCAAGATCATTTTTATTAATAAATAAGATTAAAATGACACTTGTGTAAATGTTAATTTAACAGAAACACTCCACAACATTATCAGCTTGTTATGAAATTACTTAAATCTTGTATGTGCTCACACCAGTTAAGGTATACGAGCTGTGTCTCATTGTAACACCTTGCTAATCTCGATGATGACAGTGTAGATTACCACCAAAATATGTAGAGAATGTTCAACAGTGATTGATGCCCTTTTCATTAGTATTTTATTGTACAATACATTTTAAGTTTGGGGGTATTTTAGTTTGATTAGAATGTTTATTACTTTTTGATTCTGCTATGAAATTACAAAGCAACCAATACTAAACATATGTTTTGATAAACAGACATAAAATAATGAAGCTAGCTTTATGTTGATCAGTAATATTCTTAAACATTAGATAAGTATTTTACATCTGGCAGAAATATAAAATTTCAAGACAATGATGAAGTACTTACGAAGCATTGACAATTGTGTCTCTGTGCTCCTCGGTGAGGAAATCCCCTTTAAAAAGCTTGTATTCTCCATATTTCTTCCCATACCACTTCATCCAAAACTTGAAGTTATGATCCATTGCCTAATTAATTAAAAAAAAAGTTTAAATACACATAAGCTAATTACACAAATAGTAACTTACTATGTGAACTAAGAACATGAGAAAGTGTATAATGCCCATTAAAAATTGCAGTTAAAATAATCTGAGCCCAAATTCCTGAAAATAATTAAATTTTCCCTACCTCTGAAATCATTATCACAAATACAATTTGTAAGATATTTTTACAACATGAATGTAAATGGATAAATTTGATATTCTAGCATGAATTTAATCTCAACTATCTTAGGTACGCAACAGAATATGATGGATAATTTCATTACCTTGGCATAATGTGAAGGAACATCAGCTTTTTCAATACCAATGCACATCTTACATGGTGACATAGCAGCCAGCTGGAGAACAACTTGACCAACTCCTAGAAAACATATAAACCAGGATGGTATCAAAACACAGATAAGCTAGGATGGTATTAGAACATACATAAATTAGGATAGTATCAGAACACACATAAACTAGGATAGTATCAGAACATAGACAAACCAGGATGGTATCAGAACACAGATAAGCTAGGATGGTATCAGAACACACATAAACTAGGATAGTATCAGAACATAGATAAACGAGAATGGTGTATCTCTTGCTTGTTTGTATTTCAGCAAAAAAATAAAACTTCTTGACTCATCAGTATTGGCACAAAACAGTTTTTCGAACACATAATCATAAATCTTTATAGATAAAAATCACAAAAAGTTAATTCACTTACATGTACAAAACTGTCCTTTTTTTTTTTTTGGTTTGAATTTCGCACAAAGCTACACAAGAGCTATCTGTGCTACATGTTCCTAATTTAGCAGTGAAAGACCCACCATCAACTCTTGGACTGCTCTTTTACCAGCAAATAGTGAGACTCACCATCACATTATAGCGCCCCCATGACGGAAAGGGCAAGCATGTTTGGTGGGATGTAGATTCAAACCCACAGCTCTCTGAATGCAAATCAAGCACCCTAACCACCTGACCATGCTGGGCCTGTACAAAACTAATGCTGACCATTTTCTCTCTCTTCATTCAACATAAAGTAGCAACTGAGAGCAGAAATTACACCTAAGTCAAAATATCAAACATACCAGTGTTTCATGTGTAAAAGTGAAATAGCAATTTAAACTTTGTTAAAAAGTATGTGTACAAATTATGCAGAGTTATGTGGTATTCCTAATCTAAGATTATGAACAAGAAAAAAACAAAGCTATCTTAAACACAAGCACAAACAAATATTTAATTTTACAAAATTCTACACAATGAACAAGCAAAAAAAAAAATTTATCCAAAATACAAGATTAAAGAAGTGTATTTATATAACAGTACCATAATATTTAATTTTTTGTTCTACATGATATTCATTTTTCTATCTGGCTGATTTCCATATGATTGTGTGTAAGTACACATAACATGATGTCAAACTTTCTGAGGACCAGTGTCCAGATATTTTTCAAATTCATGGTTTGTGTAAACCTGTTCAAGGATTTATGTTTGGTACATCAAATCTCCTTCAACCTTAATGATTGGTATTTATGTTTGTCTGAAAGACTTAAAAAACCCACTTAATAACAGCTGGAATTAATGTATTTTGAATAAAAACAATCTTACTTGAAAAAAATCATTTTGTATACAGATGAGCCATGAAAGTAAGAATACTTGTAGCCAAAATATACGACTAATTTGGGTAAAAGGTATTTTCACGTTACATTTATCACTTATATGTTCCAGGTTGCTTGAACTTATGTTGCTTTTATTTACAATATACATGTATGTGTCATATGACTTGGAAATTAAAATTGCCTTTGTTTTACCACATAACCCTTTGTGTTCATGAAGTGTGTACACCATTGTTTAAGTCTGATTATACTTGGAATTAATCACTTATCACACTACATTGTTAGTATTGTGGTAAGATAACTTTCAGTTGCAACACACAAATACCTCATACTCCTTATCAGAGTCAAACAAGGACAATTAAGCATTTTTTCAACATCATCTGTGTAAATACTGCTTACCACTTCCAAGGTCGATAAACACGTCATCTTCACTAATGTCAATTTCTTGAATCATCTGAGCCACAAACTCATAGGATGTTTCCCCATATACCTACAATGAAAGTAAAAACTATATCAAAACTTTCATTTAACATGAATAATGTTAAAGTACCAAATTATCAAATGAAGGCTTTAGAAGTGAAAACCCCACCGCTGATTAAATTTTTACATTTAATTTTGGGTATTAAAAATGCAGTTCTACCAGTCATTAAATGCTGTAATTGAAGTATTTTTTGCTTAAACACAGTTTGCCCTAAAATATTTACTAAGTTCACGTGTAAATAATAATGTCACACAAAAATACTGAAAAACAATTTATTTCCAATTCCACAATCAGTTTCTATCTTACTTTCTATTTTTGCTTTTTTTTTAATTTTATTGGCTAGCGTTTTCTGAAAGAACAAACACCTATTTTGGCATTTAACCAATATTTCATGTCTGTAAAATCAGGGCCCAAGTTTAATTGTCTTCAGTTATTAGTTAGTCTCAAAATTATAAGAAAAGCTAAGAATGGATGCATATATACAAAAAAGGTGTTTTAAACTAAGAAAGATGATATTATGAAATCTATGCAAAAGCCATGAAATGACAAAAGTAATTATTATTCCTTAACTAATACTGCCAACCTAAATTCATTATCTTAATACTGGTCCAATACCAAAACACCTTTAATTTGTGAATAAAATACCATCAAGATAAAACATGATTATATTTTCAGAGGCAGAATAAAAAAAAATAGAAAAAAAAAGGTTATTAGTAATGGACCTTTGTTACCATAGCAACAAAAACGCTAAAAGGAAGAAAGCAAAATAAATCCACAGACATATTCACTTTTCTCTGAGCATTCTGAACTCAACTGAGTATTTCTCCAATATTTAACACATTGCAAGTTCTATATGCTAGGTTCAAGGAATATATATCAAAAACAGAAAAGCCAGGAAGCATCATCCACCACAAGATATAAAACATTTGTTGCACATCAAAACTATATGAACTAAGGAACTCATTTATATTCTCATAACAGAAAGCTTATTGTACATTTTTTAACACAAATATAATTCTTTAAAAGTTTTTAATAAAAACAGAAAACTGGAGAATCATACACAAGGCTTCAGTCATACCACAACTGTGAAAATATAACCCTCTAAAAAACATACTTCAATAACATAATCAATTAATTAAAACTACAAGCAGAAGAGCAAAAAAATATATAAATGATAATGATGGAATTCTAACCAGGTAAAAAACAAACAAACCATCATGCTAATTTCTGTATGTTTTACTATATATCTGAATACATACGACAGTAATTTTTTTCTTTTCATAAGACTAAATTTCTCAATCTACAGTATATTAAAATTTATTACTATGTTAATATAAGTAACTAATTTTCAGCATTGTATATAAAATGTATCAAAGAAATTACATGAAATGAGAAAAAAATAACAATGCCATGAATGAAGCAAACAAGCTGAAGATTAACCACTCACCTCTGGGGAAAAAGGTTCATACTGGTTCAACCTTTCAGGATCAGTGACTGAGTGGTTGTACACCTGTTGAATGATGTGTCTCAACAATCCTGTTGTTGCTTGGCTGTGAACAATGGCAGGGTTGGAAGATCCTTTACGCTAAAAGCCAAACAAGGTTCTTAAGAAACTTACAAGTTGCAATATATGAAATTCATGAATGAGTGACATTTTCAGAATACTTATAAATTATGCAGCTATATGACCCTATCTTAAAAACAATTACTTCTATTCAAATTATCACCTAAATATGTATCAATATATTTAAAATCATTTTAAGTACTCAAGCATTTTATATTTGGAATATATATGATTTCACTTTTCTCATTTATTAATGAACTATGTTATTTACAATGAATAGTCACTTAATTGTCTTAAATTGAAAAACTTGTTAGTAGTTGCACCGTTTTTTACACTGGAGTTTCAAAAACTGTTATACTTAGGAAAGAAAATTCACAGGTGATGTCAAAAGTTGTAGTTACACGTATTTACATTACTTTACACAATAAAACAACTCACTAGGTGTAGTGCACTGTCAATAGCATGGTTGTATAAATCACACAGAGCTTTCATGCTTTTGTAGCTGCAAGAAAAAGAAAATGATAATAAGAAAAAAATAAATCCTTTATATTAAAAATGGTTTCAAGTTTTTGCCTTTCATTCTAAAATAAAAGGAGCAATTATTTAGACATAGCCAGCAAACTTTATACAAAAATATAAATTATCAATATTTGGCAGATGTGTATATATACATTTTTTGAGCTTAAAATAATGCACAATATTTTCAGCAAAAAATTAGTAATTTATTTGAAATTCATGTGCTTTAATTCTTACACCAATTCCATGCAAAGTATCCAATTTTATTAAAACTGGTTTTCATGCTTGTGAATGAACAGATTTCAAAGTAAAAAGTAGATTGCAGCTAAAATCATTAATAAATTTTATAACCAATTATTGTCTTTGAAACATAATAAAAGACCAATCACAAAAATACTAGCTTATGAATTTAAAAGTAAATATATCCTTAATACTCACAACATAATGTTTTATCATAATAAAGTTAAGAATAAAAAGGGGTATCTTTAACATAAAAAGGGTTGGAGTGTATAAGAGACAAATATTCCTTCCACAATGTAAAAAAAATTAAGGAAAAACTCAAAACTGATGTCCAAAGGAAGTTTGCCAAAATTTTGAATGTGTCATTATACAAGAACATTTCAAACATTCTTGCTATACTTGTGTCTCCATACAAATAACCTCTTTTACTCAAAATCACATTAAAAATGCTTTGCCCAAAAATTTTAAAAAAATCAGCAGCACAAAAAAAAAAATTCCTTTTTCAAAATTTGAGTTAAATCTTCTTGTTATATATGTGTTGTTTCTTTGTACTTGATCTTTTAGAAGTCATCTACAGTGTATCATGATAAGAATCCAGATTCTACATATTTAACAGTATTACTTGGACTAACAAGTCACATCTGTACTAGTACCAAGAAAATCTTACAATGTCAAATATTTTGCTTAAGTGTACACATAGCAATATGGAATACCATGAAAAACTAGCCACATGAAAAATACCAAGTTTAAAAATCATGCCAACTAAAATAAGCCTTTGTTGTATGTCTAACATAATACAATAATAGATACAGACTTCCTGTCTAGCCCATTAATTTATCACACCAACACCAGGTGGCTATTGCAGAGTACATGAGAAGGTCCACCTGCCATTTGACCTTGTGTGCCTACTGCCTAAGGCACAGGAAGTTATAAAGAACAGTTATGTCCAAACTTTGTTAAACTGTTCTCCTAACCAAAGTATTGTACTAGTACAAATTGCTATCTGAATAACAGTGTTTGTTGTGGTTGAAGTGGATGGCAGCAACACTTATTTTGTGACATTCATATTCAGTTACCAAACCTGCAGTTAGGAACAATATTCTTTATAACACACTCTTAAAGCCTATTTGAATATCTCAGGCAAGTGTATGAATTAATTTCACAATTTATTGCAAGACATTTATACAAGTTGTTTTAATTTAAAAATATTTCTTGTACATCTACTCTGTTCCTTCTAAATCAAACATATTTTGGTATAGAAATATATTCAACGCAGAATTGTTTATATTCAAATATAAGATATCTTTACCTTCGTATTATGGTTTTATATTTGAAAAAATTTTAAAACATCTTTTTATTGTTTTAAAAATTATTAAACTTGCAGAAACAAGTGTGGAAAAGACTTAAACTGAACAATACTGTTGAAAATAAAGTAGGAGACAAGTAAGAGCTTAAGGGTATAAATAACTTTTGCTTAAGGAATTATTTACTGCTATTTGCTATAATTTCCTATTTTTATGTCTCTGCAGATAGACACATTGTTTTGTTATTGTTTCTACTTTCTTTCTTTTTCCAAACACTTTTCAATCAACCACTATTCCTTCACTTCTTAGAGGAATGAGAGGAACCTTGGTAGGGTTATACTTTGGTCCAATATGCCCAGAAACCTTTTTCTTTCTTTTTTTTTATTTTGGTTTTTTAAGGATTTTATAGGGTCAAAGAACAAACAACCCAAATATATATATATATTGGGCTAATGTGCAGTCATATTTATAGCAATCATGTTGAAAACTGGCATAAATATAACCTTTCAATCGATTTGCCCATTTTGAGTGTTGTATTTTTGTGTGTTTTTTGGAGACAGAGCTTCAAAAAAAGTATATTTTTGAGGTTTCTGGGGGGGGGGGGGTTAAGATTTCACAAAAAGCATAAATTTAGGTTTTTTTTTTACAATTATTCCAACATATTTCAGCCAATTTACATGAGATTTGGTACAGATCCTTTCTTACAGAGCCCATATATATATGCACACAAAAATGTGCCCATTTTTGTCATTTGGGGAGGAGAGTCAAAAGGTTAAATAAACCCATAATTTTTTGTGTTTTGGTCAATTACTTAAACTTATTTTGACCAATTTACTTGGAATTTGGTACAAAAATACTTTTCTACAGACAACACACATTGACAAACAAAAATATTGGACTTGCCCATTTTAATAATTATAGGAAGGTCAAGATGCCACAAAAAGAATATTTGTGGTTTTTTTTTGACAATTTCCCTGCCATATTTAGACCAATTTCTATGGGATTTGATACACAGATATTTTTTACGGGTCCAATACATATACATACAAAAATGTAGGATATGCCCATTTTTCATCATTTTAGAGGGTCAAAACATTAAAAAACAACATAGTTTTATGGGCTTGGCCAATTACTTACCCTTTTTTCCACCAATACATGGAATACTTTTTTTTTCAAGCAGTGATATAAAGACAGTTTTCAATTTCTCTGTGTTTTTCACAGTTTTTCTGGGGTCCAAGTTGGGACTGTGTGGTGAAGACATGTTACATTCACCCACAAATGTTGGCCTCTCTAATAAACGTTGTTTCACTCACTGGTAAAAGTTCATGAAACCCCTAAACCCCAAAATTTACATCTCTAAAACCTTTCTAACCTCTTAAAAAAAATTCAAGGAATTTATTTATTGATACTTCTGTTACATCAGATATGTTAAGACGTTGTTACATGTTGCTTACACACATTAAATATGATAAACTTTTGTATCCTGGAAATACCACATATTACAAAACAACTGCACCTAAATGTGTCATATCTCAGGCACAAACACTCACAATATGTAACTACAACTAATTAATATGCAGTTCTTACAAAACTACAAGTCACTAATACCTTATTACTTTATTTCTCAATTGATATGATATTTAACTTGATTAGAACAAGCTCTAAAGGATAATGGATGTCATATTGACCTTACCTTCTTGTGTCATAATCACTCAGTACATGATTTTTTATAGCTGACTTCAACTCAGGAAAGTCCTCACAGACCCACCTAGACAAAACAGGAATAATTATCTAAGACAGCTAGTCACATGATTTGGGTTTTTGCTTTCTACAATTGTAAAAATTTTATTAATATTTTATAAACTATGTACATAAGGGACTTTAAAATCTGTTTTTAAGTTTTTAAAATATACATATATATTTTATTTTGCCGGGATGAAAACTTCATCCCGTTAAAACTTTCAAAATATCTTTGCAAAAATCTGGGTTATCTTTTTCACTAGACTGGTTTTACTTTTATGTCATTTTCACGAAAATGTTGAAAGGCTTTTTCACAAAACGATCAAATGATCCTATTTTTTAGGAATGATCAACAGTCCTCCCAGCTGTATCAGTCCAACTGGTGAAAAGATTAAAATAGAAGTATTATTCATTTAATTAAGAATATTTACAGTTACTTTTGTCTCAGTATAACATATATTTACCTTATCTAGTTAAACGACTAAGTGTAAGATTGTAGTTCTTTATAATGAAGTAGAAACCCAAGGATATATTACTTGCTACTCCATGGTGATTAAGAATGTACAGAACCACTAATCTACACTTGTAATTCTCAGACTTTATAGTATCTTAATTTACTGCACCAATCAGAGGTAAAGAAACAAACACTAAATTGTACTGTTGGTCAAGGTTTCAGTATCTTATCTCTTCCATCAAGTCCTCTTTTACCAAATGAAGGTGACTCCTTTACACTACTTGTATTGACCACACCTTCAAATACCCTAGTACACTATTTATAGCCTAGAGAAAAAGGGACATCTGCTTTTTTTTAAATGGTTTTACAGCAGGCTGTAAATAAAATAACCCTCAACTTTAAATGGAAGTGGTATGTTGTCTCAATTAACTTGCTAGTCCTCCATCTGGTAAACAAGAAGCCGACCTAGGTATCTAGCTACAGTAATTCAGAACTCTGAAAAGAAGGCCCCACAATCTTATATAACCATCTAAAGAAACCCTACAGTTGCAGCTCCAGCTGGGAACAGGGCAGTTATTTGGAGGAAAGGCTGCCTAATGCCTCTTTACAACTAAATTTACTGTCCACTACTGTTAAAAGACTTAAATAACTTTTGTACTTTGACCTGTAAAATATCAAACATAAAACTAACCATAGAACACAATTATGTATCTTAAAATTTCCAAAATCCAAATGTGATAAATGAAATGACAAAAAGTGAAGAAATTGGTGATGTAAGATTTTTTTCTTTTATTAGAAAGAAGGGTTGTTAAGGTTTAATATCCAATCTTTTGATTTGTTAACTTCAGAAGTTATGTTTCAAGAATGAATTTAGTGCTTAGATATGCAAATACAAAATTCTGCAACATCAAGTACATAATTTTAGGTCTCAGTTATGTATTTCAATTTTCACACTTAAAGCTGTATATGTTAGATGAAATTAAATCTTACTTCAAAAAAGTGTATTCTTAAAAGTATATGAGCAATAGTTGATCAGCGAAAATAGTTCATGCCAAGCAGTCAGTGCAACAACATATGAGCTAGTATTCAAATTACATATTGCTGATAAAAAAAACATGCCTATCGTCCAGTAACTTTCTTATACATTAGCTCAATGCACATTATGACAAGTTTCACACTGCAGAAGAATAAACTATGTATATCAATTAACTAGATGTTTTTATTATAACTGAGATGAAAACATGACTGATCCTTTAATGTTATGACAAAAATTAAAACATTGGTTTCTACACGCATATCTCTCTCACAGAGTGATATTTCACAAGTTTCCTTACTTATTTTTAAAGCCACCTGAAAGAGGCATCAAATCTTTTATCTCCCATCTGACCCACACCAGCCCACGTGCAACTTCCCTCGCGTCGCGTGCTTCACGGGTGAGTTGAAAGACCTGATCGGGAGGCACGCCAGATTGTGGCCTTGAGTTTCAGCGAGTTCAAGCGGCCAAGCGCCCCGAGCCCGAGGGGACGAAGGAGGGAGAAAAAAGTGAAGATTCTGGCTTCTCGTGCCTCACGACAACACAAAGAGAGATAGCAGCCTAGAAGACGGGCGGCCAGAAGGCAGACAGGCAACCTTCAAGGTAAAAGACAAAACGTGTTCACGCTGAACAGTTACCATGGCAATATGCCCGTCCCCGCGTGTTTTAATCACAGACTTTTTTCTCTTAAACATGTTATTTTCAAAAGTTATCTTGAAGGGGCTACATTTACTTATTCTCACACACAGTCTTAGTTAGAACGAAACTTAGAAATGTTCCTTTTGTAAGATCAGACACTAACCTAAAAAAAAAGTTTCCAAACTGAAAATGTTAAAAAAAAGCATACACGTAAAAAAAAAAAAACGTTAGTAACCACCTGCGCTTACAAGATTCACTGCAAATAAGCAGGTGTATAAACGATGCCGGCGTCTGAATTATCATACAAGGCACCATTACAAAGATCTCTGTTCGATGAAATAAACCTGAATTATCTAACTGTTAAATATTTATAGACATTTATAATTTATTGCCATTCAAACATTTGCCTACAATATTAAAATATAAATATATAACGTTTTAATATGAAGTGTTGTTTTTTTCTTATGAAACAACAACAGCTGTATTCTCTGCATGCCCTGGTTAGGGTAAAACGAAAATACAGTCTAGGATGTATATTCGAACTTTTCGTAACAGACATGCCAGTGTTAGCAAAAAGGTCTGTTCCACCAATTAAACGTGGTCTCACCCTGAAAGTACAGTGTATTTATTCTTCGCTTAACAACAAACCTTAAGTCAGGTAACGGTCTACATACATACAAACTCGCTAACCAAGATGATCCATTCATTGCTCTAGCTAATACTAAAGCGTCAGTAGCAAGTTCTCACGCCACAACAAGCGCACACCTGAAAATAAGAGGCTTGGCCACCAAGTCAAAAGCACTAGGGCGCAGATCGTTTTAAGAAAAACTGTCACGTGACTTTCGACCAGCCCTGCAAATGCCGAGAACGCGCTCAACCCACCGACCCTCTGTACGTATGTGTGTGTGTGTGTGTGTGTGTGTGTATTGTTTTTGCGCGAGTGTGTGTAAGGTCACATAACATTTTTTTTATTATATAAACTTCAATAAAACAGAAATACAAAATATTAAAATAGCCTTGAAATCATTGTTTGTGAAGTATATATTATAACGTTACTATAAATGTTGAACTCCTTGTACCAGTGACAGAACGCCAAAAACGTTGATCTCGTGAAAGTTCATTAATAAATATTCTTTAAAATATATATGTTGGTCACATATAGAGAAATCCATCAGACCAATTACACACAACCCTTATCCAAACATACAAGGGTCAAAACTCGACTCGCACAACCTAAAAACCATATTAATAAGTTCAGGCCTCATTTTGCTAAAGACTAAACAATTTTTAAAAATTACGTGTTGTTATGATACGTCTACCTAGATCTAGTTATGTCTAGACGATAATCACTAATAAGTAAACAGGAATGAGACAGGCTGTCTGGACAGTTTTAGCATTCTGAGAAGTGCATTTCGGAATGGAAAAGATGAACTTTGCTTCTGTTTTATACGTTTAACAGAAAAGGAACGTAACAATGACCAGTTAATTACATTAAAAGTCAAAACAACAGACCAATCACTGCTAATAAAGACTGGGCAAAACCGTCTGAAAATGTTGTCTAATGAAGTGTATAATTTCACTATCACTAAATAAAACGTTATATAGTACAGAATGTATATTTAGTGACTGCATACATATAATGAACGCAAATTATTTTCAACTGATGCACGCACGGTTGTTGATTTCAAAGAAATAAAAACGGAAACCATATAAGCTACATATCTACAGAGATTCTAAACTGAATTCCAGTACACATCTCAACTTTTGTAACAATCTTCTATAAAAATATTTACAAAAAAAAAACTCAAAAGGAAAACTAGATATTTTTTAATTGAAGATAAATATGTCGGTTTATTTGCTATTTTGGGAGAAAAAATGCACGCCTCATTTCCTTACCAACAAAACTTAATACGTTTTTCATAAATAACACATTGAAATGCATTTTCTAAATCAAATGAAACAAAGTCGATAACAGTAATGTTATTCAACAATAATATTTCTGTTTGTTTGGCCCCCCAGTAGCACAGCGGTATGTCTGCGGACTTACAACGCTAGAAACCGGGTTCCGATACCCGTGGTGGGCAGAGCACAGATAGCCCTTTGTGTAGCTTTGTGCTTAATTTCAAAAACAAACAAACAAACAAACTGTTTGTTTGTCCATGTAATAAGGCGAAGATTATACAAAATTAAATAAGGATTATAGAGGAGCTTCATCTTCACTTGATCCTTTGAACTCCGCAGTAAGTTCGAGTATTTTATGATAATTCCAATAAATTGTCATGATCCAGATACAATATAAAGGATAAATGATATTAGATAGATAAACCACTTTGTTTCTAAGGTGATCACACGTTTCATGGGATAAATTCGTGGTCTCATTTCTCGAGTTCATAAACGAGGTCTGAAACTTTTCCCATAACTGGGTTTTAATCTACAGTGTGGGTGCGAATAAATGCAAAACGAAATTCGGCTTCATGTCACGAGACGAATAACTAAACAGTATTCGAATGATAAAATCAATACCCAGTCCTTTCAACTACTCCCGCCAAGCACCTACAATGATCGGCTTCTCCCTGATGTCAACATCATAGACCAATACCAGTTTTCTCCATTCCCTTTTCAACCAAAAATACATTGCAATAAAGCCGGAGAAACAGAAGCCTCCCATTCTCTCCTTCCACCAGTTTTTCCCCTTGGCAATTTAAAATTCAAAGCCTATATAGTCTTACCGCTACCTAGCCTTACTCTCAAATTGATAACACTTTCTCGGTTTGTTCACAACTTGCGAAAAACTAATAATTAAAATACAAATGTTTTGTGTTTGCAAGGTTGATTTCTTAATTTTATAACAATTAATATGCGTTATTTCTCGCTTGTCAAAAAGCAAACAGATGGATTGTCA